CTGGCATGTAAAAGACACTATTTATATTTACTGATTAAAACAACAACAAGGGCCTCTTACCTGGTCTCCCTGCTTCAATTCTTGCCCCCTGCAATTTATTTTCAACAAAGCCTTCAAGGTATTTCTGTTAAAACCTAGGTAATATCTCTCCTCTGCTCTCCATCTCACTCAGAGCAAATGCCAAAGTCCTTACAATGCCTATAAGAACCTACACCGTCTGCCCTCTGAGCTCCCAAACTCATCCACTTTACCTCTCTGACCTCACCTCCCCCTCCTTTCACTAGCTCATTGTTTCATGCCTCACCAGCCCCTGGGCTGTTCCTCAAACATGCCAGGCTGTACTGGCTGTTCCTTCTACCTGGATCACCTACTGGCTCACCCTCTCATTTCTGTCAGGTCTTTGTTCAAATTTCTCCTTCTCAGACGGGTTTTTTTCTGACCACCCTACTTATAGCTGTATCCCACCCCCACTACTCCAGACCACTCTGTTTTATTTTCCTATGTAGCACATACATATCATCATCTTATATCATTCCTACCTATTATACTTACTATTTTGTTTATAGTCTTTCTTCCCTCTCTAAAATAAAAGCTCCATGAGATCAGGAATTTTTATCTCTTTCGTTTCTTGCTGAATTTTAGCACCTAGAACACTGCTTGGCACATAGTTGATGGCCAATTAACTATTAATTGAATAAATGAAAGAAGTGATATTCTCTCATTGGGTATCTAAACACACAAAGATGGTTAATCAGCGAGAACAGAACACATCCATTGTGAATTACTCAGATTGTTCCTTCTACTTGTCATGGTATCCTAAAGAGATCTGGCACAGTACCTCAACCTTTCTCCAAACAAATCAACAATACAAATGCTCTCCTTGAGAGACGGCAGAACTGTTAACTCCACCTTTACTCCTGTTTTTTCAGGGTACTGATAAGGATTTTTCCCCATTAAAATGTATTTATTTCACAGGCAAAATTTTCCCCAAATATGCCTTACCCCTGTCTTCCTGGCCACAGCTGCAAAGTTGAGTACTGGTGCCAGAGGCAACTGATTAGTTTAAAAATACATACCCTGCTTAAGGCTGGCATCCATTTGTATTTCATTATAAGAGGATATTAAAATGGTGCCTTGGACTTTTAACTGTCTACAGCACAGTATATCTGTCACCCTAGTTCATCCTGACAGTCTGCCTAGGAGAGCGGGTAAGGCAGTTAGTGTCGTGCCCATTAACAGATAAGGGAGCCAAGGCCCAGAAAAGCTGGTAATATAGCAGATCCTAGGCATGATTTCCTACTTTTATTTTTAAACTCTTTTTACATGAAAATGAGTTTCGAACATACTGGTGAGATGTTGAACATGTGTACTTAATACCCTGTCATGATGTTTCTTCTTGCTAAAGTTGAGCTCTAATAAACTGATAAACAGGATCCAACCATCCTGTGGTTTTAATTTCTAAGAAAGTACATAATTTATGAAACGATATTTTTGCCCTAATTTTTTATCCAGTGATAATCCAATTTTAGACATACTCCCAACCCACAAGTTGTTTTCTGAAGACAAGTTCTACTCCTCTTTCAGACTTAAAATACCATAATGTTATCCCTACTAAACGGCTTAGTAGTCGTCCCCTCCAAAAGAAATCTTTACCTGAAGCCCTGTGCCTGGACCAAACTCCCTCCCAAGACCTCTTGTAGCACCCATGCATGCCCTTGTCCCGGTGTTTCCATGCGAACGACCCATTTACCAGCTGTCTCCTTCAATAAATCCCACATTTCTTTAGAGCAGCATTAACCAACTCTGTATCCCGAGCAGTTAACATAGTCCTTGGCACGTGACAAGTGTTCAATAATGGAGGCTAAATACATAGATGAAGGAAAGTAGTCATCAAAGATGATTGTTAAGAGAGGAGGTAGGGGCTACTCCACTCCTGTTATTTATTGCCTTCCATACACTCGTGGCCCTTCTCCATTCCCTCACTTAGTGTAGAGATTAGAGGTAGAAACTGGATGTGACTCATCCCATCTCTTCCTTAGCTCTTTCTCTTAGGGAGACACACAGACATCTGGACCTCCATGACATCAGAGGAGGGCAGACCCCATGTAGGGAGGCCTGTGGTGGTCCAGTACTGCCAGTGACTAGGAAGATCTGCCTGTGTAATTTGGGGTTTCGGCATTAGGAAACACATTTGCCCAGAATCATAAACTAAATTCGCTAATGGCAGAGGTTATAGTCTGGTCTTCCATCTGATTTTTTCATGCATTTTACTTATCAATTGGTTCAGAAATTAGGGCATAGAAGAGGATACTTTGTAGGGGTCCTTAAAAATCTTCTCAATATGGTCCAGTGGGCTTTGAGATTTTTAATTTGAGAGGCTTCTCCTATGCTATAAATGACAGGTTTCCCAGACTATCATTGTATTTTTAATAAAGGAGAAAATGGTAAGGTGAAATAACATACTGCTATGAACTCAGCAAACCTTACAAATGCCCAGAAGCTAAGGGCGAAAATTTATGATGATAAAACCTTCTATGCCATCAGCAGAACACTTTATTTTGTCTATGTTTCTAGAACCCCATGATTCAAAAAGTAAGTATCAAATTACCTATGTCAAACTTTTTGGCCTCTCTCTCTTGATATTCTCCTTTTCCTCAAAACCTTTAAATGCTGCTCTAATAAATATGTATCCATATGAGTTGGATCTGCCAAGACCTCCTCCACACTTCTTCCCATAATGTTGAAAGAATGTTTGAGGCTGGGCACGAGAGGATGAGAGGTATCTTTCTATACAAGGCAGTTGACTTAATCCATGGAATGGAGCCCAGAAGTAAGGACCCAAAGGCATTGACCTGATGTAGGTGTTGGGCAGCTTCTACATGTCCTACAGACATATTTCATCATTACCCAAGCCTCCAACCTTCCACTAGGTAAAAGTTTTGGTGGATAATAAAATGTTCCAATTTATTTCATGGTGGCGCTTATCATAGCTGATTTCATACAACTCTGCTAGGTAGGTATTATTACCCACATTTTATAGATAAGAAAACTGTGATTCCAGGAGAAACTAATAATTTGAAAGGTGGGGATTTGAGTCCCTGTCCTTTGGACTTCAATAGCTGCACATGGTATTTCCACTCTTCTGCAGTGTTTCAGAAAAGTCCCATCCCCATTACTAGAAAATATGCAATGAATGCATAAAACGTTGAATTGAGAGTGGAAGTGATGACACGTTTACATAGATAGGGTAGAATATTACTACAAGGCTTTTATAGGACTGTGTCATTACCCTGTACAGATAAGGAGTAGACAAACAGAAAAGTGGTACACAGAGGAATGTACAGGGGACAATAAGCATATTTTTCTGACTTGTTTGAAGATAAGCAGGACAATAAGCAGGACACATCTATGAGCCTCTGCTTCTCAGAAGCTTCTTTTCTAAGCTGAACTTCCAAGAACTGTAGACCAAGCCTAGTTTACTTCCTATGTCATTGGACACTCAGGGTTTTCTCCTTTGTTGGAAAGAGTTGAACCATTTCTTACCAAGAGAAGTCAGTCTCCCCAAAATTGTCCTTGGACCCTCAATTTTTTTGCTATAAAGCCAGAATCCATGCACAATGCCACTCACTTCTGCATGTGTTATCAAAATGAATAAATACTAGACAACCCAAAGCTCAGCCTCAGACACATGTCCATGAAGGACTCTAGACATTTTGGATTTAGCATCCCCAGAAATAAATCCAACGAACACGGTGTCAACAGAGGCTCATTTTTCTTCTCTGATCCTTTACTTCCTGCATCCAATGCCACTATGTCTCCAACATTGAAAGTAAAGAAACTTCACTATACTCATCTAAGTGGTTGTCCAATCCCAGAGCTTATGTCTACAAAACACCCCTCCTTGAGTTTCTCTCCACTCAACTTCTCTAACTGTTGCTCAAGTTCTTAATCTTAACATTTCTTTCCTGGTCTACTCTAATCTTGTCCTCAATAGAGTTCTTACATCTAACCTCACCTCCTTTGAAGACCTCCACTCATTAGGGTCACTGTCACAGTACATACCCTTTCCTACACTCTGATCCCTCTGTAAAGCTTTAGGACGGTGCTCATCCACCCTTTGTCAAGGTTAGGTAGTCCATCCATCACCTGGAAACTCTGTCTCTAGGCATCACTCTTTTTGTCCTTGTTCCAGGTATTAATAAAAGCCAACTTTGTGTGTTTGGGCTATTTCTATCCCCTTGTCGTCTCTAAAATATCAGAAAATATCTAAAGAACTGTTCTCCCTCTAATTCATCAAGTAATGCTTCCTATCATCCAAAAAGGTTTTGAAATCCTGTGTTGTCTGATCACACATTCTCAGGCTATTCAGAGAAGAGCCAAGTGTTCTCTTTTCTTTCCATCCAACTCTATCTTTTATCTCCTCTCGCTACCAAGCCTAGCCGTGAAACTTCCATGGCTACTAACTCATCAGATCACTTTACCAGACTCTTGGTGAATGCTCAGTGTACTTTGATCTATTTACTTTGATCTATTATTTTTTCTATTTGATGTAGGTGTATAACCTTTATGCTCATCAAGTACATTTCTCTTGGACTGTAAATTACTGGAAGGTGGGGCTCTACAGAAGTATGAAGAACGTTTTGCTAACAGAAATTCATACATGTAGATGCTGTTTGATGATCATGAGGGCAGCATTCAAAGCCACTCAGATAACATGCAAAATGTAATAATAGTTCATGAACTTGTTTTCAGTCCTGGGCATGTAGTTATACCTTTTTTTCTACCCAAACACCCCATCGTTTCCACATCTAGTATAGTTGGTAGAATCCTAGGGTGATGTTCCCTTTGATCTTGTCTTGTCTTGGGAAACTCATATTACAGTCATTGTTGGGGATCTGTGCCTATCGCTAAAGCCTATGCAGTGAGGTACCAAGCATGGGTGTGGATTCAAGTGCGTAGAGCTTTATCAGTGACCGGCGCCTTGTCTCAGCCATACTTACTTGGTGAGGTGGGGGAGGCTGCCCCTCCTTCTGTTGAAGTGGTTGGAGGCTTTGTGTCTGGCACTGGCAGAGGCACAGGCCTAGCCATCGGTGGTGGTGGTGGCGGTGGCAGCATTGGGGTGGGAAGGAATGGGTTGTGCACTTTGCCTTGGCTACTCCCATTGGGCTGCATGGGTGGGAACAAAACAAAACACGCACAAGAAAAAGAAGAAACAGACATGAACCATTAAACAAAAGATTCCTTAGGCACCTTTTACGTAAATTACTAAGTATTCTAGCTGCTTGAATTCTTCCATGAGAGCATACAGATGAAGAATTATTGGGTTGTTCTTAAAGCAAAAGTACAGTCTCAGGCACACATGCTCGATGCATCCTAAACTTATCTTTTGAATTACGCTGACCTTCTTTGCATCTGGCTCTGCAAAATGACCTGCCAACTTTTGATTGGAATGTTTCGATTCTGTATTAACTATCTTTGTCATCATTCTCATGATTATTAAACATTTATTTAATATATACGTGTTTTATAGATTGCAGAACTATTCCATCATGTCTATTTATATAGATATAATAAAGTTTCCTAATTATGCATTTGAGATAAAACATATTTTATTTTCATGCTTCAAAGTTGATATTATATAACATTTAATAAATATGTTGTGAACATAAAAAATTTCTTACACATATTGTATAACATCAGGCACAGAAACTTTAGAATTCAGCTGTCAAAATTCTGTTAAGAAAAAAATATCACTTCTAATTTTGATTTAAATTATATAAGCATATGCCATAAGAGTCATACTTATTTGGCTGCCTGATGTTAGAACAACCAAATAACAGCTCTTAACAAACGAAAGTATCCCTCTGAAGAAAGCAATAAAATTCATTTTATTTTCAAAATTTTCAGAATGGTCCCATGAAGAGACCTGCCTTCAACTCTATAAAATTTTGATCAAAATGCAAAACTGGGCATTTGACAGTTATATAGGATGATGTCAAGATTAAAAAAAATAATTAGAAATTTAAAAGTCAGATGCTTGATACTGGTGGTCGCTCAGCTTTTTCATGGTTTCCCAAGTGGCTTTTCTGACTCCAGACTTCGGATGACACTAGTCAACCAACAATAACAGTTCGTATTTAGACTATAGTCCTGAATCAAAATTCAGTTGAAGGAGATGCTGTTGTCCCAGGCTTTTAAATTTCAGCTTAATAATTCTGCAAAAGCAGTCTCACTTCCTTATCAACATTCACTTATATATTTAGTATTGTTCCTCAAAGACTATCTCATCTGACAATCAGGATGCGGTGCTTTCTTGCCAACAAACTTGCCTGTGTGTTATTTCTGAGTGGGCTAAAAGTCCATAAGTGAATTCTTTAGAATAAGCCAAGCAAATGAATACACAAGCAAAAAGAAAAAGGCACCATATTGATTTGTTGTCTAGACAGAAATGTATCTGCTAACACATCATCAGACATTAGTCAAAGCTGCCTGTTCTGTCTCAGATATGCAGAATCAGGTATTTCTGCAAGGGAAGAAAATCAGTGATAGGGCAATGTGATATATATAATATTTTAAATTAGGCAATAATAATTATAGCTCATCTGTGGCACATGTGCAGTTATTACGAGAAAAAGAAAAATCACATTTGGCTTTACGCTGGTCATTATTTACTACTCATTATTATTATTATTTGCCTTGGGATACAGCTATCCATTGTAAACATTTAGTTCTATATTTGACATAAAATTTGTGATTTTTAAAAATCACTTTTACATTTGAAATATTATTTCAAATTGTGATTGTTTGGTTTATTTGAGAAAAAAATGAAAACATTCATTTGAAACTACTGAATACTGTTTAGCTTTACACAAAGATAAGTGGGAAAGATAACTACTTGCAGAAATAACAAACCATAATAAACTGTACTTCTAGCATCTTGAGTTCAAGTACTGGTCAACTTGATCTAAAGTGTTAGAAGACTGTATTTTTTAAAAAAAATATCAACTTAGTTGATCTGAAACATCTGTGCCCCTTCATCCCCTTACCTCTCCCTACCACCCCCAATCATTATTTAAAATTATTTGTTTTTTCTATTTTGTTAACTGTGTGAGCCCTAGGGTTAGTATGCATGAGGTGGAATTATTAGCCCACAGACCTTAGAAGGTTATATAGTTCACCCTTGAAATGATTTATATCCATAAACTTGACAGTTGCGAACATAACACAAACACTGCTTTAAAACCCTGGCCAATCTCTCTTAGAGTAAGTTAACTTTCCCACAATCTAGAATAAATATGACATTTGCCTGCAATCAGTCAGCACAACATTAGAGCACAATGTCACATGGTCATAAGGTCTCCCCTTGTTATTTTTACATTCGGTTAATATTTCTAAAGAAATTGAAAAAAAGAGGTTTCCTTACATTGAGGAACCCCACCTGTCCAGCCTGCTGACCAGCATCAGGGCAGACAAGTTGGACAAACTCTTTCAGCGTCTCCTGAGGGTGATAGCGGATGGCTGGGTGTGAGAAGTAAGGCCCAGGCTGCTGGATAATGGGTGATGTTGGAAAATGAAGAGTCGATGGTGTTGCGTGTGGACTTGCTGTAGGAAAAGAAAACAAGAGAGTTATGAAAGAAAAACGTGCTTTGTCGCAGCTTTTAAACCTTATTCAATTTCCTTTTTCAAAAATTCTTCTCCTGACCCAATTTATAATATCACTCATGTGACTGAATTTAACACTGGATAGGTCTGATAGATTTTCTTCTTTAAGGCTCTAAGACAAACATGGAGGTTAGATTAGGGTAGAGTTTCAAGCTGTCTTTCTATTTTCAGTGGACATGAGTTATAAAGGCATTAATAATCCTTGGTGAAGCTGAAGATTATTCATTACCTTAAGAGCCTTTTTAATGAAGCAAGCAATAAAAAATGTATTTGGTAGATTAGACCTGATTTAACTGACATTATGTATGACAAATTCTGGTTTGCACATATGGATCCCCTTTCATGCTGAGCTATCCATAGACAATAATTCATTGTTAAAAGTCTTATACCCCTTTCAAGGAAATTTCTAGGGACTAATTCAGGATGAAATTTTTTGAAGTATGTAGTAAATGATCACTTAATGAACCTGTGCAATTTCAATGCCTCACTTTACATGGAAGGTTTATGTTGTCCCCCCTCCCCCCCCCTTTTTTTTTTTTTGCCATTTCAAAACCAAACTCAGAAACGCATAAATGTTAGAGCAGGGGAACCCATGGGCTGAGTAGATGGTGACCCCTGCTAAACTGTTGGCCCTCCACTCATAAAACTGATAAAAGACTCAGACCAGTATTACTCCTTTATATTCGAACTCTGCTAAATTTCATTGGTACAAGAAGCAGCTTACATTAGATTTAAAAGCTTATATGAAGTGCTGAATAATTTTTCTGAGAGAACTTCTGCCCTTGAGCTGGAAGGCTGATTGATAAAACCTGCTGCAGGATAAGAGCAGCACATGGGAAGGGCTGAAGATACTCAAACCAAGTAACGCCGAGATAGCTCTCACTTCTCCATGAGGGCCAGAGAAACAGCTCCCAAGTAAAAGCAGATGAGAGTATTTATCTTTCCTTACTTTTTGCAGTTTAAATCTTTAAACTCAAGGAGCCCCTGCAAAGAAAAAACAAAGGAATACCCAAATTTTTGGAGAATAAGACTTTCCTAATACCAAGAGTGACTCATAAAACTGAAGAGGAACCTAAGCAAGACAGGCCACACTTTCTACCACTGTCCCATTGGCATGGCTGAGGGCTATAAGAAAAGATGCCTTCCTATTGAACCCTGGGCCTGGGTTCTTTGTTTCATACTAGGATATATTTAGAACTGCGGCATTTTTTTTTTTACCAATAATTTGAATGGCTAGGACTTTGAGGTTCAGAACAACATCTGTACTTTTTAAAGGGTGAAAATGGGGGTTTGGAGTAGAAGCAACAGTCCAGTCCACATCTTGCAGATGACCTGATGGGACCCTTTCATTCATGCAACCTTTAACCTATCCAATAAATATTCATAGCCTCCTACTTTGTGCTTGGGATACAACATTGAGCCAAACACAGACAAAGTTTTGTCTTCCGTCATACAATTGAGGGCATCTTGAACATAACCTATTCAAACCAGAATTCTTGTCACTTTTTACCCCTCATACTTGCTCTTCTCCCAGTCTTCTCCGTTTTAGTAAATAGTTCTCCCATTCAATTAATAGTTCAATGTTGTATCCCCAGAATAGTATCTGGCACTCAGTAAATATTTGTTGAAGGTACAATGAGGGATTGAATTAATGAGTAGTTCAGAAATTAATAAAATCACCATACAAATAAATACAGACTTCAACCTTTTTGTTCAAACTTTGTTGTTATTTGTTTTTCACCTGCCAAAAAGCCAGGGAGTTTGTAGAAAAACAGGTCAAACTTAGGAATTCATACGATGAATGATAAATCTTGGGATCCATTTTTGTCTCCGAGTTAAAATACAAAAGGTGAAAAGTTAATTGGCTCCTGGTCATCTCTTACTCTGCAATTTGTGCTATTGGCTTTAAAAAAATGAAAGGAATTTTTTTCCATCTGATACGGTATGTTCTTCCTTGCTGGTAGCAAGAAACTTTGACCTAGTGCCCTTCATTTGACTGAATAGTTATTAGTTAGAGATGGAATGTGGCATTATCCAAATGAGGCTGGGAACATACTGAGCATAACAAAATGACACACTCAACTTTTGCAGCATGCCAACCACAAAGGTGGCAATTCTGTTAAGAGCCTCTGTGAAGAAGACCTTAATGATAAAGTGGCAATGCTTCAGGTGCTCAATAAACTGATGAATGACTGTTAAGATTATGAAACTGTGGTGACCAACAGAGAATGCTGCCCAAAGGAAAAAATTCACTTGAGCAACAGGCAGATCAAAGTTAAACTTAATAGAGAAAACAATTCAATAGGATCTTGGAATCCCTCCCTTAATTGTTAATAAACATTCTTGCCCTCTTTTTGTTATTTTGTTGTTAAACATGTAAAAGAAAATCATTAACAGCTTAAATTTAGACCTTAGTTTCTTTGTTACATTTTACTAAAAATAATTTATTCACCTTTTCCTTGTGGCCTAGAGTTTATTTTAACACAAACCTGAGAATACGTGGTACTAATGGAGTTCATCCTACAATGACTAATTTATAAGAATCAATTAATTCTTAATTAATACCAGGAAATCATTTAGCCTGTAGATTCAAATTAGACAATTGCCAAGTCTGCATTTCATAGGGTCATCCTTCACAACCCCTGCTTTCTCATGCCTTGGACTTTCTGGTTCAGCCATTAGTTCACTGTAGAACTGGATATAAATCATTCGAGATCTTGAGCTTTAATTTCTTCAGACAGAAAATAGTTGTGTTATAGACATCACAAAGTTCTGTTAAACATTATGAAATACATGCTATTTTTCTGGATACTCTGCTAGTTGTAGTCATTGCTCTAAAGCTCAGACTTAAGGTTTCAGCAATGTCAAAATTTGGTTTTTCTTCTTTTGTATTTCTTGTTTTCTCTCTTTTATCTGAAATTAGATGTTTTTAGGGTACCTATGTTTTCGTCTAAGTAGTTTCAAATCATCTTAGAAAATGTCGAGGGGTTAAATGAATCAAGCAATCAATTATTCAACCAATAAAATTCATTAAATGTATTTTGACACTGTCAGATCAGGCCCTGTAAAAGAGAAACTACCATTGTGAATCTGGCATGGTGCTAATGTAATGCACAAAGAATGATATGAGTCCAAATTTTTGATGGAGAAAAACACCTCTTATGGATGTGTGTGTGAGTAGTTGACACAATAAAAATGATAGCACATTATGTAAATGCATATTTAGATCTTTTAAAATGTGCATTATTTACTTGAGAGTCAATAAAGGCTTTTCTCAAGTGGTTACAGTTTATTGCAGTGCATCCATCTGTATCCATGTTGATGTTAATACAATTTTGTGTATTAAAAGGCGCTACAAAATTAGCTGCTTCTGGGGTCTAATACTCTTAGGACCCTAGGCCAGGAGCAGCAGAGTGTCAGAAACACTCCCCTCTAGACAGATCTCACTACTGGTCTAAACTTTAACCACAGGCCAGACTTGTTTCAAACAACTGCCTGGGCTTTTCACAAAGAAAATACAAATAAGATGGGAAGGAAGGAAATCTGATCAGGTTTCTTGGCTGGAATGGCACTGCCTATGTATGTATTCTGAACCAAGTCACCACAATTAAAGAAACAGAACCAGAATTTCCCAAAAGGTGTAGGGCTCAGTTATTTATTACAAAATGATCAATTTACTGGATACTTAACAAAAAGAAAGTAGGTCAGGCAGGTTAGTTTACTTGTTTGCATGCGCATACACACACACACACACACACACACACCCAATTATTTAGTACACTCTCAGTTTTAGTTTGCAAGAGAAAAATTTAAAATTTAATATAATTAAATATACATATTAACATAATATAATATATAAATGCTTCCTCTTTTAAAGTAGAACTGGTTAAGGCTGGGGAAGGAGAAGGTAAATGTCATTACTGTATTATTGTGTATATTGAGAGACTTATATGATGCAACAAATGATTCTTAGTCTGAGAGTTCACTATATGGAGGTTATATGTGCCTTTAGACACATATTCTAGCTCAAAGAAGATGGTGCCAGGGAGGGGTGGCCTGATAGGTTGGGAACCTTGTATTTCATTCTAAGTTTTAGGAAAGAAAAAGAGATAAAAGTAATCCTCCTTACCATTTTCAGCGATTTTGCCCAAACTCAATCTCCAAGAATTCTAATAGCCTTCCTACATTTTCCCTCAAACCAAAATTTCATGGGTTGAAATATGTTGTATTTAACCCTGACATTGTCTTAATCGCTTTATTCCTTGTCTGTGAACTGCTGCAGATTCTCACAGACTGGACAGAGGGTCAGATTCTTTTTGTGTTAGGGTTTGCTTCCCCGCACCAGCCCTTAAATCCTAGTCTCTCTTCTGTGGAAGACTCCTTGAAAAGCTGTCAAGAGAGTGGCACAAAAATAAAATCCAATCCCTTTTCAGGTGCAGTGTGCTCTTAATGCAGCATCACATATGGCCTTCTTCCTTCACGGAATAGAACGATCACTCCTAAGCCCTAGTGTTTGCAAAACTTCACAGTCTTCCCATTAATCAACACTAAGTCAGTAGCAACAGGTGAGAATCCAAACTGTTTCTCTCTGTTAGCACCATTACAAGAAAAAGTGACTCATCTGTCTTCAGAAGGAAGATGTTCTTTAGACAAAAATAACCATTTCCATGGAGCAAAAGGTGGCATTGAGAACTCCTGACTACTCATATTTAGAAGTAAAGATTTTAATAAGGCAGAGCTCTAAAAAGAACAAAGAGGAAAGAAAAAACCGCACTTAAAAAAAAAAGCTTTCCATGAGGGCAAATGGACTGCAATTGTTTGGGTTGTCAACTACTATGTACTTTGCTTCTTCAGAAGTTCAAAACCACAACATATAACACCATTATAGCCTGCCTAAAGCTGAGAAATCTATCTTAATGGTCCATAGCTATTATTATAAA